TCACCACAAAGTTGTCTCAGGGCACTTTACAGAAACATTCACATACATAGAAAAAACAATTAGTAAAGTTCTCTGTCTAAGGAAGCAGCAGACATGTTGAATCCTCACTTCTTTGCAGTCGCTCATCTCCCATGCAAGTCACCTTGCAAAAAGATCTGAAGCTCTCGACCTTGACCTCTCTAAGTGGCTTCAAACATCTGTTAAGTTCCTGGCAAAAATCAATTGAGACATGTTCCTGTTTTTAGTTTTCTACACCGCTTTACAGTCTAGCTGTTTTTTCAGTTTATGTTTTATTTTATGATTGTCTATTGTTGGCATCACTCTTTGTGTAAAACAGGTCTCTCTTGTAAATGAGTCCCTGAGGCTCAGTGAGACTAATAAAGGTTGAATGAATGAATAAATACACAGATGAGGAGACGGAGGGACAACAGTGCTGACACTGACAGTCACTAATGTCACGTTTTTCCTGAACTCAGAACATATTTTAAATCAATTGGTGATCAGGATTTTTGTCCCCTTTCATGGAATGAAGAGGGGGAATTGGAAATACCCTCCATCCATCCATGCATGTTTTAAGCATGATATCATGAAAAATAGGAAAATATAATAATAATAATAACAATAATAATTAAAGCTGCAAGCAGCATTGAAGGCCCACGCAGCAAAGCGCCACTCCGGCCTTACGACGACCGCGGAAGCTCCATCTACTCCACCTAGTCGCCATCTTGAACGCTCTTGTGCATATCCCGCAGTCGTTCACCAGGGTGCGCATTTGCCAGATCTTCGACATCACCTGCAACTGCGGGAGCTCCAGCAACGCCTCCCAGTCACCGCCGTGAACGTTCTTATGCCATTCCCGCATGTGTCCACCAGGGTGCGCATATGCAGAATCTTTACAATCACCTTCCGCCCATATCAGTATGAGTCCAGCTGCAAGCCTTACAAGTTTGGCTATAATCCGACCTTCCAGACGGGAGTTATTGTCACTTCCTCTTTTGTTGTGAATGTAAAGTACTTCCTATAGGCTTTTCAACATGTCATACATCGTAATCAGCAGTTAGCGAATATGGTTTCAGTGTTATATCTTACACAGTGCCAAGCTGGAAGAGTCGCCCAATAATCATCAGTTTCTTCTTTGAGTGGGCCAGGCTTAAGTCATGAATCAACAATACCAATGTGTTTACAAGTGCTAACTCATGAAGCACCAAAAATCAGGTTCAGATCAGATGATGTATCACTAAGATATAACTCTTGGAATAATGTAGGGGGTGCACTTGAGTCAAATGTTAAACAACATTAGCAATGTGTATAGAAGTGCTCACTGATGACGCACAAAAAAATCTGGTTCAGATCGGATGATGTATCACTGAGATATAACTGTAGGAATAATGTAGGGGACGCTGTGGAGGCTATTGGCCAATTATCATGGATTCCTGTTCAAGGGGTGGATAATGATCGATCATAGTAATTCTGGTTAACCTCGGCTCAAATCTGTGGAATTTAGAGCCAAATGTATGGCAACGGCGTTACGTCTTATTTCGCCACGTCGCGCCGCCCACATGCTCCACCCAAAACTGTCAGTGTTGGAAAGCAAGTTACACCAACATGTCTTCGGTCACTGGACACACCATCATGCTGATTAGATCACAGGGACCAGATAGGGACCATTCACCATAAAACCTTACACTTCCTGTTGTCAGGGGGCGTGGCTTAAGTGATGTCATGATTTGACCATTCAGTATTGCAGGGGACCGGATGTGGATCAATCATGAAGGTTTGATGTCTCAGACATTTTTCTTGTAGGAGCTCTTAGCGTTTCGGTTTTCATGGCAACATGTCAAACTTTGAGGTCTGGCCCTGCCCCTTCAGCATGCTCCGAAACGCACCATTTAGATAACTTTTCGTCCCCCATGCCTTTTGACCAAAATGGCCAAGTTTGAAACTGACTGAGCAAAATCCCTAGGAGGACTTCATTGAAATGCGGAGGCTGTAAACCACCAAAAAGATGTGAAAATTGGGACGGCATTCCAAAATGGCTGCCTTCCTGTTTATAGTACAGCGTTGGTGCCAAAGGGTTTTCTGTGCATCTTGGGGAATTGGACGAGTTGGGGGTTCGAATCCACCAGCAGTCACATGTCGAAGTGTCCCTGGGCAAGACACTGAACCCCTCATAGCCTCCGATGTGTGTCCCATCAGTGTTTGAATAGATTAGAATATAATTCAACTTTATTGTCATTGCACTTGTCACAGGTACAAAGTAACAAAATGCAGTTTGCCTCTATCCAGAAGTGCTTAGCAAGAAAAATAAATTGGTAGATATATATAGTACAATATACAGTAAGTTGCTTTGAATATGCTATAGGTATAAATATATACAGGTTGTGAGTGTACAGACAATGAACAGGTTATAATATGAAGGGGTATAAACAGCTATATAAAATAAATATATGTATGTGAGTACTTATGAACAGTAGATAGTAGATTATGTGTACAGTTTGTACAGTAGTGGGCTAACGGATGAAAGTGCAGGTGGTGGTGTTACAGTCCATGTGTTGTTGTTGTGTGTATGAGAATACAGACCGTTGTTGTTATTCAGATGTCAGGAGGCAGAGTTCAGGAGTGTGACAGCTGTGGGGAAGAAGCTGTTCTGGTACCTGGTGGTTTTAGTCCGGAGGCTCCTGTAGCGCCTCCCAGAGGGCAGGAGGGTGAAGAGTCTGTTTGCTGGGTGGCTGAAGTCTTTTATGATTTTCCCAGCCCTTTTCAGACACCGCTTCCTGTAGATGTCCTTTATGGCAGGAAGTGGTACTCCGGTGATGTGTTGGGCGGCTTTCACCACCCTCTGCAGCGCCTTCCGGTCTGAGGCAGAGCAGCTCCCGCACCAGACTGTGATGCAGTTGGTCAGGATGCTTTCAATGGTGCAGCAATAAAAGTTCACCAGGATGTCTGAGGACAGGTGGTTCTTCCTCAGAGTCCTCAGAAAGAAAAGGCGCCGGTGAGCTTTCTTGATCAGTTTGGAACAGCCGGTCGTCCTGGTGAGATCCTCGGAGATGTGGACACCCAGGAACTTGAAGCTGTTCACACGCTCCACCACTGTCCCCTTGATGTAGATGAGTGGATGTGGGCCAGCGTTCCTCCTGAAGTCCACGATGAGCTCCTTAGTCTTCTCAGTGTTGAGCAGCAGGTTGTTGGTGTCACACCACTCAGCAAGACGAACCACCTCCTCCCTATAAGCGGTCTCATCGTTGTCTTTGATGAGGCCGATCACCGTGGTGTCATCTGCAAACTTAATGATGGTATTGGAACCATCAACAGGTTTGCAGTCATGGGTGAAGAGGGAGTAGAGGAAGGGACTCATCTTACAGCCTTGTGGTACACCGGTGTTAATAGTGATGGTAGATGAGCAGTGGTTATCCAGCCAGACATGTTGGGGTCGGTTGGTCAGAAAGTCCAGTAACCAGTTGCCCATGAGGGAACTGATGCCCAAGTCTGTGAGTTTTGTGATGAGTTTTGAGTGGATGACTGTGTTGAATGCTGAACTAAAATCTATGAACAGCATCCGGGCAAAGGTGTTTTTGTTATCCAAGTGTGAGAGAACAGAGTGCAGCGCTATGGAGACTGCATCCTCTGTGCTCCTGTTCTGGCAGTATGCAAATTGGTGGGGGTCCAGGGTGGGGGGGAGACAGGATTTGAGGTGTACTAGGAATGTTATTTAAAGCACTGATTAGTCTCTTTAGAATGATTTGTTCAGTTAGCTTTGTAGAGATCTAGTAGAGTGCTGTATGAATGGGTAAATTAGGCACAGATTGTTGTGTAAAGTGCTTTGAGTGTCTTGAAATAAGTGTAGTGAACTAAGCCTCAGGTCAAATCTGGCCCTGAGGGCCTTCCTGGGACAAGAACTGTCATTTCATTGATTTGAGTCCAGAAACACAAAATTAAGTTCATCCAGAGACTTTCTAAGTGTGTCCTGCACTGATCAATTGAAAGAACACTCTCTTTTTTATTATCATTACTATTTTACAAATGTCTTGATAATCAAAAGTGTGTTTAGTTCAAACCATTTTAAATGTTGAAGTGAACTACTCATTTTAAATCAACTGTGAAACAGTATAAATGATTTTTAATCCTCATTCAAAGTAGAAATCTAGTTAATGTCTGTTACAGAGTAATTATTCATTTTCTTGATCTTCTGTCTGAAATGAGCAGGTTGTAAGTCGGTCAAAAGTCAAGTTTCGGTCAACTACATGTTTACTGGAAAGAAATGTCATGTTAAACTTTTTCAGACAGATAGAAGTAGAACTGGCACCAAAAAGTCTCGGTTTCTTCAAAACATCTTCTGTCTGTTCTTAAACAATCTAATCTTTCACCTTGACTTTTAATAACCTCTTACATCACTAAGACCACACCCTGTTGGTTCGTTGCGACCAATCAGGACTTCCCAAATGAACCGGAAACAGAACTCTTTAAATGTCGACACTTCCTAGTTCCAACCAGTGCGGTGGGAGAGCAGTTCAGTTCGGAGGGCAGAACCGAACAGAAAAATTGCTGGAGAGAACAAGAAGTTCCAGACATGATCCGAAGTTCTTCCGAGTCTCGTGGGAATTATGGAATCTTCCACATCTGAGTGGAACCTCTGACGGACTTACTCCTCATGTGAGTCCACCCGTGAGGTGAGCCGTGTTGAACGAAGTACCGTCACTACTCCGGACGTTTCCCAACCATCCTACGGAGACGCTGGAAATGGTAGCGTTAAATGGAACTCCGTACCAGCTGATTCATCTTCAGAGAGGTAACGAGTCGATTTCCTACCGAAGCGTACCGAGGTGAAACTGGGTTCAGATGGAGAGTGCCGTTCTTATACCGACACATTTTCCCTCACACATCTTTTCTCTCCAGACAAACTCCCTCATTTCCCATCTTTAAAACTCTTCTATCTGCCAGTAATTAATCCAGATATTTTCAGAAATGTCTGTTGTAATTAGTTAAGCTGTGTTATTGCGTACAATCAGAATAATCACGTGTACAATGTTTGATGTTAAACTTTGATTCTGTTAATAAATGACCGCATTCATTTTGATGGGTCAAAGAAAATTAACGTCTCACGTCACTGATCTCTGTCACATATCTGTCAAGTAGCTCGAAAAAGAGAGAACCCGTTTAAATTAAGTATAATATCAGGTACTTGAACTAGTCCAGATATTATAACATGTAGTGGAGCTCCGAAGCTAACGAAGCTAACCAACCTGTCTCACTACTACATAAGATAGAAAGGCGCTATATAAGTACAGTCCATTTACCAAATTTCATGCTTCTACGACAAATTAAGGTTAATGTGGAGGGTATTTTTTAAATTTCCAGGTGGTGCTTTTGAGCCGTTTGTGTTGCGATTTTTGCCACGCCCTTAAAATACGTAATTTTTCAGCAGCCCTAATGCGTTCGCCAAATTTAGTGAGTTTTGGGATATGTTAAAGCCCCCAAAAGGCCAATTCATTTGACGGAAAAATTGCTCGGGCCTAATGAACTGAGCAATTACAATAGGCCTTCGCAGTGCTTCGCTGCTCGGGCCTAATGATGTGTGGCTACATCTAAATGTAAGACAGGTTCCTTTCGAAAATAGGGTTGCCACATCAAAATTAAAGATGGCTGCAGCCGTGTGTGTGTGTGTGTGTGTGTGTTCGTGCGTGCAAGCGTGTGTGTGTGTCCACCCTGATCGTTTGAGGAAACTGTCCTTTCTAGTTTTTATATTGCTTAACAGTATAGTTTCCTCAAATGATTGGGGTGGCCAAACATTAATCTGTGGTGGTGAAGGCCACCAGTGGCCACCCCCTGTCTCCTCCATTGC